AAATCCGGCTCTAGGTTGCTGTTTGATGACGAAGTTCGACCCGAGCCTCTCTTTTGGACGGTCTCCCTAAACTCTTAGGGGTCCTAAAAGAAGAGATCCCTGTTTCTTATAACACTCCCAAGCATTCAAAGCTCTGATCTGACTTTAATAATTTAAAAAAATCTTGATGGCCGGATCCATTCCGATCATCCTGTATCTCCGTAAAAATATACATACTCCTCCTCCCCCTTATGCAGCGGTATGGAGAAGAGCCAAACGAGTTGCATACGCTCGCTAGCTGGGGCAAAAAACTTTAATCTAAATTTTTAAAATTGTATTGGGATTCGAAACAAATGTTATCAGTGTATTAACAACGTTGATTATCGCCGTAATTCGGTGAAACCCTCAAAATTTCAAAGCTGGATTCGATTTTTTTCCAAACGGCGGAGGGGGAAGGGGGATGACTAGGGATGACCAAATGCTACTCTTCAAACCTTCAAACCTAGCAATCTAGCAAGTCTAACAATAAGAGTAAGTAATGGTATTGAGTGCCACTTAAAGTCAAAAGTTGTTCGGGAGGAGGGGGAGGGAGGCACCTGCTTTTTTTAAAAAATATTTAAGTTTAGTTTCATTCCTGCCAAATAACTCAAAGTTCACTTTTAAACATCGAATTACGTGAAGAAATTATGAAAAGCAACAGTACAGGAGGTAGTTTATTCTTTATTCTTTCTCCTCCACCTATTTCTTCAAAATGACTTTTTGCGTGGAGATGGAAAATGCGGAAATAATGAAATGATCCTCTGCTTGTACCTCGGGTGCGGAATAAATAAATAAATAAATAAATAAATAAATAAATAAATAAGCAAATAAATAAATAACTCATTACAGGATACACAAAACTAAAAAATGGGATGGCACAAATAAAACGGCGCTGAAATTGCGCTGAAAGCATCAATGCCGGTCGTCAACCGCCGCTCTGGCTGTAGTCACTCTAAAGAACTCCAGGTTGCCTACCCACCACCTGTAGGCGAAAGCCTCATGCATGACTAGTCGGAGAAGGAGAAGGACGTCTCTATTGTTTTCCATTTCTCGGAAAAAGAGGCACACTGCACTTTCTCTTCCGCCGTTGGCGGCATAACTCTTTTGTTTCGCGACCATTTTCAATTTCAATTTTCCTTCCGTCCTTCCACCGTGCGTGCGGATTTGCTCACCCTTTCATAGGACTGACAATTCTACTAAAGTCCCGAAGGCTGTCACAAATTGAGAAAACAAGGTAATCAATCTAATTGCTCTCAGAATTTTTCATTGAAGCATGTTTCCATTGTTTTATTTTTATTTTTCGTAGGCCTTAGCTATTCTCGGAGGCATGAGCGTGGAACCAGTCGGTCTTCCCACTGCATTTAAGAGAACATTTTCAACGAATTCTTTTCATAACGTTATATCTCGCTCAATAATTTAGTATCATCCTCCTATTCATCGAAGTATTGTCCTGGGCCAGATGTCCAGCTTTGCTGGAAGCATGCCCAGCGTGACAGTGTAGCGCTTCCGGTAAATGTGTCTATATCTGATGTCTCAGCAATTATCGGTACCCTAAAGCTGAAGAACTTGAAACAAATTTGTACCTCTTTAGCTTCTCCTGTTGCTCTCTAAGTGAACTTGACTCGAGTTTAATAAATTGATTGTAAACCCTAACCTAAGTGACCAAGCACATGTCAATGAGCCTAATAGTAAACTTCGATTCCTGCATGACCCTCCAGCCAGTTTTTTGTTATTCGTCTGTTAACAACCACATTGCATTATGCATGGGACTTGCCTTCTATACTTAGATTAATCAGGAAAATATGTATGCTAGTTTCCTTACAAATACTTTCATTTATCCAGGTTTGACCTGTTGCGTACCCCATTGAGAGATAATTTTCGGCCTGTTCCGCCATCAGTAGCTACCGCTACCGCTACCCTCTTATTTCGTCTTAAAATCTTAGTCTTACCTCTTGAAGTATTCCATACATTGCTCAGCAGCTTAGAATTGGTCTGTACACAAGTTGTATGTGGCAGATCGTCTTTGAGGCATGAAACAACTACTCTACGCAGTCAAATTTCTGCTGAACATTCTTGAAGGCAGCAGCCTCTCAGATATTAGGAATCAGTTGCTGGTTTGGTTATGGTAGGTTTTGCATTAGTACCTTTGCTAGACTGTCATGTCATACGCATCGGCGGATGGTGGTTCATGCATTGCTCTTGTGTAATTAACTTGCGTCAAGCAAGCTGTAACTGCTCTTCAACTACTATGTTAGAGTGGTAAAAGGGAAAGAAAAAAACTTGTATGTTCCATTTATTATTTCATTTTTACAATTTAAATCAAGTAAAGATTTTCTGGGTTGGCAGCATTGAAATTATACTTGGAGTCAATGTCTGCCTTTCAACTTGCACCTGCCACTAAGATAAGATCACATGTCAATGCTCTTGTGATCTAATTTTATCAGGGCCAACCTAACTTAAATGTTCTACAGCTAATAGTTAGATCATTTCAGCTGTACTTACCTAAATTTTAGGTTCGTTCAAAGATCTCTGTGATAAAGCAAACCTCAGTTGTCGTGGTTCTCAATCCCTGCTCATATTTTACTTTTCAAGGATATTCTGCGGAACAGTTTTGCCCATTCTTTTCAGGCAATGTAAATCTACTGCAAGTTACTGCATTAAGGGTCGTTCATATAATATGTATCGGTATGTTTCGGATTTTTTACCAAACACCCCCCCCCCCCCAATAGCGCTGTTGTGTTGTAGGTCTCTATTTTTTAACTTACTTCTGCTTTTTTTGACATCAGTTTGCTTCTTTTTTTTATTTTTAAACAAGCACTAATGGCCATGACGGCATGTCTCTGTCACAGGAACACTCCGATTTTTGTCAGGTTGATTTTAAGATTTGCTTTCCGAAGAGAACAATCTTGAAGCTAAAGTGTCAATTTTGAATAAAACTTTCTGCAGATTCTGATATTTCTGAGATTATCTCATAATTTTCGTCAGGAAACCTTTGAAGTATCAAGTTGCTTTAAGAAAAGGCTCAGAACTTGCTGAACAAATCGTTTTCTCAGTATTTTTGATGTATCAAAAGATATGCAAGGACACTTAAAAGTAAAAATACCTTAAACTGGCTTTTACTCGTATGTCCAAAACAGTCTTTTGACTTTTAGGTACCTCAGTATATTTTAAAACATATCAGCTAACTGGCACAGGAATGAATTGGAAAAATAACATCTATGTAAGTCTTAATTGATCACTCATTTCAATTTATCTTGATGGTAGGCATGAATTTTTTCTTCTTTTTTTTAAAATTAGCAGAAATTATACCTATCTTGTTTTTAATATCGTCTTTTTTTCTAAGTATGAGATCATACTTAGCAATGCTGCGATGTGGACAAGAATTCCTGCATTGCCTTGGAATAGAGAAATTTGAAAAATAGAAAATTGAAAATTTCAGAAAAAGTGTATGATATGCCGAGGAGGAGGATCAGTATTCTTACTGATAATAGGTTTACAACCAGAGGGAGGGGATTATGCCTGTTTTGAATTTTCCTCTTTTTCCTAATAAATTTTTGCGGGTTTCAATCCGTCATTATCAAGTTGTGTGAATGTCACTGAAAGGAGTACTGAGGAATGGTTTCATGAGTTCATTTGGAGGAATTGCAAGGTCTTCTCTTTTTTCCTTCCCTTTTTTATGGCGGGAAGGTTTGAATGAGTCTCAATGTTAAGAAAATACGCGACTGATCAACTTTTTGAAGAAAGGAAACATAATATTCAAATCTACGTTACTTACTTGCTCGAATTTCAATTATTTCAGTGCTATGTTATATGATTTCCGATAGTCTGGAAAACCTGGAAAATCAAGGCAACGTAGAAAAGTCAAGAGAATTTTGCAGGTAGTGTTTGGTAGAAGTCAGCATAAATATAAGAAATTCAGGGGATATTCTTAGAAGGTTTGAGAAGTCAGAAAATTCGAAAAAAATTTATGGTCTGGGAGAAGCCAAAAATTGCGAGGGAAAAGTTAGGGATAGGAAGAGATACATCGGAAAATGAAGAAATTGTGGAGCCCTGTTATATTCTTGTACGTGTACAAATGTCATTTTCTTCGTATTCGCGCGTGCCTGTGAATGATTCCGAGCCGAAATTTCTGACAGATTTCGACAATGTCTAAGGATCTTATCACCAGATTATCACTGATAACATCTCTTACATGGTGAGAACCTTAATGAGACCCGTTTCCATGTAATTGTCTTTTTTTTCCGTATTTGCTACTATAGGTGCGACGAAATTCCCAGTTTCAGGGCGGAAAGTGAAAAGATTCCATCCGTAAGATCCCACTTGGGAGCATCCAAAATTCCAAACCCTTCTTTTAAATCCTCATATTGCAAACAATTTTGAAAGCTTCGAAACGTGATGAAGTGTCCTCTGTTTTTGATCAGTCGGCCCTATTGAGGTTCTTACGAGGGGTACTCTACTCGTAAAGTAAGTTTATACTTGTTATATCCAAAGGTGCAGAATCTTCCAAGCTTCCACATTGTCACGCGCCCGCCCGCAGGCTTTTCACCGGTTTTCCACAAGATTTCCCACCAATTTAAAAAAAATATTACCTTTTTTTTCTGTTTTTCGTTGACTTCCGACAGATGACCCTTCAAAATTTTCCCTCCTTCCACATTTTTGGGGCTTTTCCACATTTTCACGCGCGATCGGGAATTTTCTGCACCCCTGGTTATTTCCTCTAAACTAATGAAGATGATATGGATTGCATTTTGCAATAAGGAACCATCATCTCTGGCTCTTTCATAAAATCACCTTTCTGCATAGGGAAACCAGTGGCATATATGTTGTTTCTAAAATGAGCCAGAAATAGTGGTTCCTTATTGCAAAATGTAGTCCACATACATCTGTAAGAAGCGTTTAAATTTGTCATACTTTCAGCTTTCTACGAAGCTTCAGTGTTTAATTTAGGTTTTCCGAGTGCCGAGTGACATCAGTTTCCCCCAACCCGTCTCTCGCTATACAGCGTGTCCAAAATTTACGCGCATCTTTTGGGGTGCTCAGTGAGCGTTACTCATTGATTTCTTAGATAGAAGAGCTATTGATGCTTACCGAGATTTCGATGTCATGAAAAGGCTCAAATCAACAATTAAAGAACACACCCTTGCCTTTTGTCTCGTCAAGTGATGCTCCTTCACAACAACGCTAGGCCCCGTATACACTGCCGCGCTAAGGAAGAACGCCGTATGAACACTACAGAGTTGCCAAATCGCCCCGGATGAAACATGTATTTTTGAGTAAGATTACCTATGCGTATTTTTTCTTGAAACTTCTAGACATTTCAGACGAAATTGCAAACAAAAGTGTCTGAAAAAAATTTAAGACAAACATTCACAGTTTTCCCCCTAAATTAGGCCTTTATTAAAGGAAATTTGGCAACGTCTGAAGGTTCATACGGCGTTTACCTTAGCACAGCAGTACAGCTCCTCGTGTGACCAACCAGTTGTTGACCTCCTTTAAATGGGACCTTTCCCCCCATCCCCCATATTCCCAGGATCTTGGCCCAAGTGATTTACCACTCATTTTCTGATCTGAAGGAGGGTTTTAGGCGGGAAAAGTCCCGCAGACGACGATGAAGTGAAAGAAGCTGTACAAAATTGGTTGCCAAAACAGGATCGACAGTTTTACGATGACGAACTCGAAAAGCTTGTGTCGCGGTACACGGAATGTGTCCAGTGAGATGGGGATTACGTGGAAATGGAAAGGTCTTTTCAAACATGGAAACTTCCTAATTTTGAACACAAAATCGCATTTGCAAAATGAAGCTGCATGCTACCGTCCTGTGACCTCCCCAGCGCGCGTTTTTGGACACGCGGTGGCGAGAGACGGGCGTGGGAAAACTGATGTCACTCGACACTTAGAAGACCGAATTTAAAATACTGAAGCTTTTTATTTTAGAAAGCTGAAATTATGAAAATTCAAACGTTTTTTACTTTTCTAAATGATCTTCATTAGTTTAGAAGATGTGACAAATATTAACTTACTTTACGAATACCCCTCGTATTTATTCAGGAAAATATCTTAGCAGATTTTAGTGCTTCCAGGAACTTGAGGCAGTACTATTTTATGTTATTCTCTTTAAGAATACGAATATTCTTAGAGTCCGCAATGTGTAACTTGATTTTGCTTTTCTCGGCTGGTTACCACAAGTACAATGCCCACCGCATTTTAGTTCTAACGACCGCAGATCCCTTTTTT